CCCCAAAACCCCAAAACCCCAAAATTCAAATTTAAAAGTATTTGATTAAGAAGCAATTACCAAATTTAAATAATAATAAACTAAGTGATGTCAATTAAATCAAATTTTTCCAATAAACTTATACAATACTCACTTTCAAGTACATCAAAATCAACTCATTCTTTTAAACACCAATCCCTTTCAAATATGTTCAACTCCATTCTCATACTATTAGCTTTCTAATCCATTAATTTATCTAACGCCAAGGAATAATTGGAGATGGCAATAGAAATATGTAGACATGGAGCTAGATCACCAGTTGATCAGAAACACAACGTGTCCCAGATTTATTGGCCTAGAGGTCTTGGAATGCTTACAGAAGTAGGTAGCAGACAGTAATTTGAGCTAGGCACAGAACTTAGAAAAAGATACATTGATGAGTATAAGTTACTTGATGAGGTATACAATCCAGAGTAGCTACTGGTCATGTCTACAGTCAGAGAAAGATGCTTTGAAAGTGCTCAGGCTTAGCTGTAGGGACTATACCCCCCACTGACGTAATCATCTCAAAACACTCCAAAATTAACAAGTTGGTAATAAACTCATGTGACTCTTCCATTGAGCTCTAATGATGAAGATTTCAAGAATTTTGAGAATTCTGACTCATTGAAAAATTTAAACGACTCACCGGGAGAGATTGCATACTAGAATATTCCAATATATGTTTAAGAAGAGAAAAAAGATTTTGTCTTGAGAGGTTTCAGCCATAAAACCTGCCCAATAATGGTTTAAAGATTATAGGAAGCTTCTCAGACATAATACTACTAGGATCTTCTCAAGTACTATTAAGAGAAGCTCTTTATCCCTTTATCCAGGAAATTGAACATTCAACCAGAGATAATGAAGTGGGATGAGTTTTAGAAAATGGCAGATGAAATAGTATTAACTCTTGAAAACGGCCAGAAACTACCATTTTAATTAACTGAAGATGAGCTGAAGCTAATACGAATCTTTATGGCAGATGAGTTTTTTAACGTTAAGAACTATGGCTAAGATATACCCTGGTTTACATCTAGCAGATTGAGGGAATTCATAGCTGATAAGATGCAAGGAAAACTCAATAATGAGCATAATTAGAAATTCATAATCATGTCTTCTCATGATAGTGTAGTCGCAATGATATTAGCTGCTCTAGATCTGAGATAAGATGAACAACCTAAACTTGCTTCAACGGTTATATTTGAACTTTGGTCTTCTAGCAACCTTACCTCTATTAATGGAAATTTGCCATTGCAATCTAAAGTGTAGTGGGTGAAACTGTTATATAATGACAAGGAACTGAACCTGCACACGTTTTGCTATGGCTCCTCAAATAGTAATAATTTTATGCCTAATAAATGTGATTTCCAAACATTTTAATAAAAACTATCAGAAAATATCTATCCCATTGAAAAAGATTGCTTTGAAACCTAGTATTCATCTATATTTTAGCCATTAGGCTAGCTAGACTTTGGAAAATATAACTAAACTATTGTAGCAGTAGCACTGCTAGGATTTTTAGTGGTTCTATTGGTTATCGGAAAGAAAATGTTTGACAACTCATTGAAGAAAAAATAGCCTAAGAAGAACTTCAAGGGTGGCTTTAAATTTGTTGAAACTGAATGATAAACATTAGAGTAAATTTAATTCTAGAGCTATTTACAAATCGCCATGAAAGATGAATGAAATCATTGAGAGAATATTGTAAATTATTGAGGATTAATACTACTGCATAATAATTAAAATATAACAATTTCATTAATCAAACAGTCTTAATTTTAATGAATCAATAAATCTGCTTGGAATCAGTAAAAGGGGTTTTGGGGTTTTGGGGGTTTGGGG